TCTGCCACCTTTAAAGGTCTCTACAGGACTTTTTGGTTATAATTTATCTTGGAGGCAGTGAGTAGAGAGACTCCAGCCCCCAACCTTCCCACGGGCTGGGAAGCCACCTTTGTCCCTAGTGCTTCATGCAGGTGCTCACAAAAGATCTGCCGAGAAAAACAAAGAAAGGGAGGGAGACAAACAGGAAGAGACAGAGAAGAAATGGGTTGCCCTTCTGCAGGGATTTTTTCTATTTCACTCCCACCAATCTCAGGCACTGATCCTTTCAACACATATTAAGTGCCTGCTGTATGCCAGGCACTGAACAGGGGGATGGAGTTCTGAGGACAAAGCAGACCCAGTCCTCACCATCAGAGGCCACTTATGGCACAGGGGAGGCAGCAGCGGGTTACAGGGGCCACGATGAGCATCCGCTGAGGAGGGGAGCGGTCAAAGGAGGGGGCCAAGGGGAGAAGAAGGAGGGCTGAGAAAGGCAAGGCTCACTTTCTCCTCTGCCTTCTCTCGGTTACTGGAAGAGTGGAGAGGAGACTAGATCTTGAATCACTAATGTAATTTGTGGCTTACAGGTTCCTACTTTGCTTTCGTATATGGTATTTTATTCATTCTTATTTTGGCACATACAGTACATACTGTGTTGTCAGATCTGGGGATCTTAGTTCCAACTCTTAAAGGTGAGAGACCTTTGTAAGACACCTGATTTGTTCAGGGTAAGAATTATAAAAATCCAGGATTGAGCCTGAGAATCAGAGGGGCACAGTTCACGCGTGCTTTTTAAACTGTCAAGTTCTACAGAGGTGTTAGATTTGGGGAAAAAAATAGATAGCAGGTAATAATGGTGAGGCTATAGGAAAGGTGTTGCTATTATCCCCAATAACAAGGCTCAGAGACATCAAGGAGTTGCCCTGGGCCACGCAACTAGAAAGGATGGAACTAAGATTCAAACACAGCGTTCTGACCTCAGATGCCCGCAGCATCCAGACTCTCAGCCACGCCCTCCTCAGGACTGCATTGAGTTCTCATCGAACTATCTTTGCAGCTCTCCAGAAAGGTCAAAACTCTGTAAACCAGCCAGGCCTGGTGGCTCATGCCTGTAATCCTAGCACTCCGGGAGGCCAAGGTGGGAGGATTGCTCAAGGTTATGACTTCAAGACTAGCCTGAGCAAGAGTGAGACCCCCGTCTCTACTAAAAATAGAAAGAAATTAGCTAGACAACTAAAAATATATAGAAAAAATTAGCCGGGCATGGTGGCAGATGCCTGTAGTCCCAGCTATGCAGGAGGCTGAGGCAAGAGGATTGCTTGAGCCCAGGAGTTTGAGGTTACTGTGAGCTAGGCTGATCCCACGGCACTCTAGCTTGGGCAACAGAGTAAGACTCTGTCTCAAAAAAAAAAAAAAAAAAAAGAAACAAAGCAGAATGAAGAAACAGGATAAGTAAGATCAAGTAGCAGGAGCAAAAAAAAAAACCTCTGTAAACTAAAAAATAACACTTGAGGCCAACAGCATCAGCCCTTAAAGATGGTGCACCAGGTGGGCGTAAGGTCTGTTGGGTGGACCGCTGTGCATGACCAGAAACCATCTCCCCCTGGGGAGCTGGTTCCACGGTGCACTGACTCCCAAGCTGGAGGTGCCATCATGCTTCCCATGAATGCCCCAAGAGACAGCCCGCTGAAGCCAATCTACAAAAGCGCAGGAAGCGGCGAGCCTCAGGGAGGAGCTTCGGCCACCCAGCCTGAGGCGCTGGGTCCCTGGAGCCTGATCACAGACCGCCCCGGAGAGGTGCGGTGCACACCCTGACGGGGGTTCATCACGACAGGCCTGCAGACAAAGGCTGAGCAGCACATCCTGCTGATTTCACGTGGACGCAAAAATACGCAGACACAAACCCAATCCAGCTGGTTGTGCCCTTCAAATTCTGATATATTAAGGTCTCACTAATATTTCCTGACAGGTCTGGCCTTCTCCATGGCAGAGCTGCTGGGGACACCCAGACAGAGCAGAGCAGAGCTCGGCGTGTAGACACAATTGTACAGCCCTGTGACTTCTTTCTGTCAGTGTCTGGAAGGATCCACGGGATGTGTGATTGCCATCAGGATGTTTTTGTATGTCCCCATTTCCAAGAGAAGAAAAGGTTTAATCACTTAGAGTTGATTTGATTCTCCCCAGGAGAGTATTTTAGGGTAAAAAGAAACAGACCTCTTCTTATTTCTGCAATTCCCAGCCCAGCTGCAAAGAACACATCAGGTGGGATAAGGAAGTGAGGCGGGACCTGCTGAAAGGGAGCAGCTGCTTTCCCTAAACATCTCTGCCATGGTGTTGCTTAAGTTTGAACCCACGCTACAGATTCCAGAAGCACTTGGAAGGCTTGATGCCTGCTAGGTGACGAGATAACCAACCCACAAGGGGAAAAGGCGAACATAGGGTAATGCTGCATTCTTTTATGAAATGGAAATAGTCAAACAGATCAAACATAACAATGAATAGAGAGCAGGGGTTGAGCTGGCCAAAAATCGCACCCACTTACCTGCTGTGACTGAGGTCACCTTCCACTGTCTGACAGTAAAAATGAAACTGACATCCATGCACAGAGGTCATAATTCAGGTTCGAATCAAGGATGCAAAGCAGTTTTTATGTCCTAAAAAGAGGTTTAGGGTTTATTTTGCCAAAAAAAAACCCCGAAAAAAAAAACCCGCCCCATTTTGAATTCATTAGCAGTTAGTTGAAATAACAGATTTCGTGAATTGTGGGTCCTGCCAAATGCACATCAGGTGTCCCAAGTACAAGACTCTCATGTTTATGCAGACATTTGTGAGAATGTCAGACCCTTTAATTGAGACCCAATCCTGTAAATGAACCCAGCCCTGGAAACACAGGGAAATTAGCAAAATCAAATTCACAGTTCTTCTATTTCTCTAACCCTAAATTCAGAGTGATACTGAGAATTCTTTAACTCATATATTATGTTAGGATCATACTGGGTTTCAAAAAGTTTAATAAAGTAAACTGGCTTGCTTTTTTTCTTTTCCCGTTTTTTTTTTACAAGTGCTTTTTTTCAATTGGCAAGGGGTAAATGAATCTCTTCAGCTATAAATGTGAAAATGAATTTTTCTATCAGTAATGACCTTCTAACATTTAAAAATAATGTCCTTAAACCATTTAATAATTACATTTCTAATATATCTCTAAGAATTACAGTTCAAACCAAGAAGAAGTACATTCTGTGGACAAAGCTGACTGTGATTTTAAAATCCCTAACAGTTTATAGGTATATAACTTTTAACTATGTTAATATACTATCTATCAACCTAACTGTCCTTTATTTTGGCTCATCTAATTTACAAACATGATTTCTGAAGTTTAACAGTATTTGTAATGGCAATGTCCAAAGCAACTTTGGCTGAGCAAAGTGCTATTTGTTGAACAAAAATGTAGTTGTTTGTGCAAGTTTAAACATTTCACAGGCCAGCTGAGTTCATTTCAATCCTACTTATAAAATAATTATTGGCAAATGAAATGGGCTGGGGGTTAGAGACAAGACATTTTCAAGCTTCTGAGAGATTTACAAAGCCAAGTTCTTCAACTATTGAAAGTAAAATTGAAAGGTTGCAGATAATTGAAAGGTACATGTTTAAATCTCAGGATTAAAAAGGATTCCAACAAGAGGAATATTTACAATGGAACAACAAGGAAAATGTTTTGTACTGTCAGAAACATGGAAAATATGCTGTTCAAATTTGTTGGCTCTCGAATAAATAAAATCCAGATTTAGACTATTAAAAATATCAAAGTGATCCACTATGTGCCAACTCCATTTTCTTCTGTTGTTTGTTATAAAGAAAATCCATTATTGAATATAATGCAGTTCTGGTTAAATTATCAAAGATATTTTCCGTATGCAAACTGTTGTTTATCATATGCTAGATATCGCTCTCCAACAATTTGAATACACTTTTATCACATGGTTCCATAGGCACAGGGTTAGAAAGGAATTTTGAGTTATATTTTAACTTCCTACCCAAGGTACAAACCCTTTCCATAGCAGTCATTCAACTCAGCTCTAGTGAGCATCTATATGAGTGAGATTTTTTGGATGGCAAAGTTAGAGATACAAAAACAACTTCAAGACGGCTCAATGGGCTGTTGGGTGGAAGAAAGCATCTTTGAGCAATGGCTGCCATTAAGGCTTGCCTGAAAGTCCTCTATCTTGTGACAGGCAGCTCACCACCATGCAAGGAAACCCATGCTTTTGGTGGGTATCTCTATAATTAGGACTGTGTGTGTTAAACATCAACTGGCCTCGGTTTTGCCTTCTGGGATAAAATGGGGGAAAAAAACCTTCTCCATTGTTTTTAGCTTAATTCTTCAGAGATTTTGAGAGGACTTTCCTATGTCCTGTATTGTTCCCCCCTCCCCCACTTTATGCAGCAATCTTCTTTCCCATTTTTTCCCACTACCACAAAAGGCTTTACCTGCCTTTAGGGATTTTAAAAATTATTTCATATCAACTGAATGAGCTTAACAGCTAAATATTTAATATTGCACTTAAAACAGCATTTTTAAATTATGACATTCAGAAACCAAGAGTTATATCATTCAGTTGGACTCAGTCTGGAATTATCCCTTTGTAATTATACTTGCATTGACTAATAAAAGATGGTTGGGGGAAAAAAGATGGGAGACCTACGGCTTGCCAACGCTGTGTATAATTAAGGGAAGGGGGCATGATAAATCTTTTATAATGAAATTCATGTGCTCTAAGACAAGGACTAAATTTGATATTTGAAAGCATTTAAATCTGACAGTTTAAAAGTCACAAGATTAATTAGGTCACATTTCAGAAATGACTCTACAATCTGAATTTCTTACTAGCAAGTCAGGTTAATGACACCAGGCTCCGCTATTTTTAATAAGTAAAGCAAGGGGCTGACTCACACACGTTAAAATTCCTTCTAGTGGTTATACATTTGGCACCTTTATAAGCCATTAGCTAACAGACCGAGGCTAATTTAAATCCAGGAGACTTTATTTAGCCTCCAGAATGGCCCCTCCAACCCCAAGTCCATGCAAGAACACAAAGCCAAGGGGTAAACTAAAAAAAAAAAGAAGAGATTGTTTTATTGTGACATTTATGACATTGACCCCCTGTTGACAGGAATGACCGAGGGTAATCTTGGCATATTGCACATGCTGTGATGAAGGGTGCACTGGAAGTCCTCTGGCTGCTGAGGCTGTTTCCTGGTCCTCCCAGACCTCAATGCACATGTGGGCCAGTCACAGAAGTTTCATTACCACTTGGTGTATACATTTAACAAGTCTTTGGTCTTAATAAGCACCATTACAAACCCTCACATTAAGGGCATTATTATTCTAGTTTATAAATGTTTCAATGATAAAAAATAGCACGATTACAGTATACACACACTTAATTTACATGTAATGTATTATACTCATAACTGAGATAAGCTACTGAACTAACTTTGGTTGATTGAAATTAATGGAGTATTGGAACTGCATACTGGTAATTTGGTTTCTAAGTTGTGTACATATTACAGTGCATTCATAAATTCTAGTTTGAAAATTTACTAGCACCAAATAGATATTATAAATGGCCGACCTAGTATTTGTATTTGGAGAAGCAAAGTTTAAAAATTTGAAAAAAAATACAACAGTCCCTCAATTGAAAGCACATTCCTGTACGTCTGCTGGAAGGATGGCATGCCAGCATGAATGGCCAGCCCCCAATGGAAATACATGTCCCAGTTTTCAAGATCGACACGTATGACAAGGTAGCTTAGCTACACACACAAGAAGCCTGAGAAAGTGGTTGTTTGGAACTAGGGTAGTCACCTGTACCTTGCTTTTGTAATACAAGAATAGTGCTTATTTATACAAATTAACTTGGTGAAAGATTGTACCTATGATATGAAGACTCTGATTGGGGGAAAATATAGTTCTACCTATCTATATTTGTTTTTCTTTAATTATTTGGTCTCTGGTTGGTGAATTAATGAAGCAAAATCTGAATTTTCATCTTCAGATTATCACCCAGTTCACCACTGAGGTAGTCTTTGTCATATTTGTCTTCTAGCTGGTTAAGTTCTTTCTTTTTATAAAGTGGAGTACTACTGATTTGTAATGAATAGGTTCCAGCCACTGGCTTCTTCTTTGTGAAGTGGAGGTAGCTGATCCCTTCCTTTTGGTTGATTTTAAAGAAGCCATCTTCGTTTCCAGATTCAATCAAGTATCTGTTGTGATTCGTCAGAGTTGTAAGGGCTGGAAGGAGTTCCAGGATTCGGACCTTGTTACTGACGTGGGAAATGTTGAAAGCGAAGAGGGCTGTCTTCTCAACATCCCAACTTGCGAGACTCACGTTGGCCTCTCTCTCAGACTGATCCTGGAAAGACACATGGCAATGTGTTAAATGCAAGGTACATATGCCACTTAGTTCTCATAGTAAAGAAAAAAGTGACTCAAATTCACACTAATACAACTTTCTGCACATGTGGCATTTATAGTTATTGAAAACGCACATTCATGAGGAACTTTGTTTAAACCACAAATGTGTTAAATTGGCACATGTGTGTAATGTTAAACTGATGTCAGGAAGAAAGCTTGAAATCACTTGTAGTTAGAGGTCTTCTAATGCTGTGGTCTCAAGCGTGGTCCCTAAACTAGCCGCATTGGCATCACCTGGGCCTCTGGCAGACATGCCGATGCTCAGCATCACCCACCCCAGACCTACTGGATCAGAAACTCCAGGGATGTCTCTTAGAAATCCATCTGAACAAGCCTTCTAGGTGATTCAGATGCACGCTCAAGTTTGAGAACCACTGCTTTAATAGATTATTTTCTTTCCAAAGTCTTATCTCATTTCCCAAACCACAGCAGATGGCCTGTAGCACCCATTCTAAGAACCAGTCTGTTTCAATTCTGTCCACTGACATTAAACCATCCCCTCCTGAGGACACACCCATGAGCCTACTTCCTGACTGTGATGATCTGCTAATGTTCAATGCTTTTCACCTGGCTTCTTGCTTGTCTCTCTGGGACCACATGTGCTGCAGTCTGTGGGCCCAGAGCCAGAGGTCTGGGTGAGTATCTGTGCATTTCTGAGTTGAGTGAAAGGCTGCAGCAGCCGTAGGCAAAGCAAACCAGGCTGCCTCAGCTCCATGTTGTTTTTGTCTACAGTCCAGGTTCCCTCACACTCCACATGGCTCTTTTCAGTAGAGGAGCCTCTAGCGCTCAGAGAACTTGGCGTCCCCATGGAAGGAGCAGTATGTCACTTCACTCTTCTGCCCACTTGCTGTCCTGGATCTCAGACCTTATCCTTTCAGCAGACTTTGGGTGGGTGTTTGACTCTCTTTTTGGCGAGACAGAGGAAATGAGCAAGCATGTGAAAATCTTCGAATGGCCACTCCCTAAAAGCAGCAAGAAACTGCAGAAAGCCCCAGTGCCTCTTATAATATGCAGGCTAGAGCTCAGGGAATGTCTGGATTTTTTTCCCCCCAGGGGGAGCTTTTTCACACTCTGGAGCAACCTTGGAGGAAACCACAGGAATCTGGAAGGCCTTTCCACTGTAGGAGATGTCAGGAGAAACCACCTAATGACCTACCTCAACACTGGAGACACCTGTCTCGTTTGTGCTTCTCCTCTTCCTGCCCCGTTTGGGGTAGCCGTTGATCTTACACTCGTAACAAGCCTCTGGGGACAGTGAGTTGTCATCCATTTCACCGCTGACAGGTGGCTCTGGGTTTCCCCGGCCCATGCCCATTCCAGAAACACAGTGCCTGCAGCAGAAGGGGAGCACAGACATTTTTCATTACAACAGGGAACGGGGTGGTGCTGCAGGACTTCAGGTGAAGCCCAGTCCCTGCAATGGGGACATTCAGCCCTTGAGTGTCTGTTGGATGATCGATCACCTGGTTCTGAGCCCCACACTGAGGTCCTCCGTGTTTGGCCTCTAACCCTCAGTTCCCTGGGTTTGTTGTCTTCTTTCTACTCTTTCTCTCAAGATCCTGTTTTGCCTATTTATTTGCACCACTCACTTTCCAGACCCAACACAGCAGGCATTTTGCAGTATTTATGCTGGGGAAGGGACACAGAGTGGAACAACAGAAGACCAGTGAATGAGGGAGTGAGCCATGTGACTTGGGAGGTTAAATAAAAATGTTTTTTTTATTAAATAATTTATATATACATTTATATAATTTATTTTAATAAATAAAAATGTTCTTTTTATGAAATGGGCTCCACAAGGGTGAGAAAGGTATGAAACGTCACTGTTCGGTTTCTTCCTCATTCACGCTTCTGAGCAATCACACCTTTTCTCTTTGACCTTTCACTTTTGCTGACACTACTGAGGATAGGAAGAAGAAAGCTCCAGATGATAACTGAAGGTTATTTCAGTAATAAGCTGTGAAGATATGCAATATAGAATATGCAAGTATAATCTATAACATGCATGTATCAGAGCAACTTGCCCAACTGTGGGAAACTGTTTCAAGTCATTCAAAACCACTAGGGCCATTGGCTCTGACTCATGTGAAGCCGGATAAACAAACCCATGCCCAAGAGAGAACTAGTTCAGCTGTTTTTCTTTGCCTTTCAGTTAGCAAAGCCAAGTTACAGAGGGAGGCTTGCATGTTTCACAAGTACCTTGTTTTGTTATCCTGCTTACTATTTCAGAGCCCACTTGGAATGTGTATTTATCAGGCTCCTCTTTCCAAATGTGTTGAAACAGTTGAATGGTCCTAAAAGAATCTTTATTTTGGGGCAGAGTCCATTCTAGTGATTTAGAGAAGCCAAAACTGTTATAAATGGGTAGATTTCCACTTACAGATCACAATGTAGACCAAATATTATTTATCTGTTTTTTTTAAAAAATAGTTGACCTAATCTTTATAACTCATTTTCCTGTATGCCCTTAGAATTCAAAATAAGATGCCAATGAGCAGACCGTTTGTTGTAACTCACAGCGATTTATGGGTTCTCACTATTTTCTTCAATATCACCAGAACCAACACATTTCCCTTCCTCTTTCTTTATCTTACAACATGAAATGTGTAGAAACAATAAAATGGATGAAACGATACATGCTCATCCTGTGTGTGTGTCTGTATACATCCACATGATGGTTAAATTATTGGGAGGTAAACTCCAAATTTGCAGGCTTTGGTTTCTTTCTCAGAACTCCTTTCCAGTATTTTCATACCCCAGGAGCAATACTTATAAGAAGTGTGACTACAAAATCCCACTGGCCAAAAGCCAGTTTGGAGTGTCACAAGTTTTGCTGGGAAAAATGGTTTTGGCATTAAACTATAAAGAATGAGTCTGTTGAGAGCCAGACACAAACATCTGGGAATTCGTGTCCTGATGCTGGCATTCCATGTGCTTCCCACGAAGCATTCTTTCACCTTCAAGTTTACACAGATCTGAAACGACTCACTTGATGTTTGTATGTCAAGAAATCAAAGACCATTAAATTAATAATTTGGGATAAGTGTGCATGTGTGTGGGGGGAGTATCTATGGATGTGTATGTGTATTTAATGTCTATGTGATCCTAGTTAAAAAGTTAAATTTGCAGTCCCTCTCAGGATAGCTAAAACTAGTTAAACACCCCAATCCAGATTAATTCAGCAGGGAAAAACTAAACTCTGAAAACTTAACCACAAAGCTTTTTAAATCATTGAGTAAAATAAAAATATGCCTTCCCTACCCTAACTCTTACACATGCATACATATAATTTGATGATGTTTTCTATCTGGAAAATACAATAGTTATTTCAACTCTCATATTTAATGCACTTTTGATAATTTTTAATGTAAATTCAAGTCCAAAATGTAAAATATAATTTAAAATCCTGAAGGACCCTCAACAAAAAGGTAGGTCTTTGGTGTGTCTTAACAGGAGCTGGCTAAGAAGGGATTTTAAGTCACGATAGAATCCTGCCTGCCCCAGGAGAACAACGGATCAGCAGTGTGTAGGGTGAGCCCAGTTCTGTCGTGGGCTGGCAGAGAGATGAATCACTTCCCCAAAAGATATGAAGATCAAGAAAATGAGATAGACAAGCCATATAGCAAGATATTTACAACGTAATTTTTTTTTTTTTGATGTTCTATAAATCTCCAGGAATCCAGATGCTCCCTTTCAGATAAAACCACCTAAAACCTTTGCAAAGCTAACTGGCATTAGTCCAGGAAATACAAAAAGCATGGTTCTTCTCTACAAGAACAAGTCATTTTGAGTTAAATTTACTTAATTGTATTGGGGATGAGAGAGTCCCCAACCACGACCAGGGAGAGCGGTGCTTACCCCTGGCCTATCCGGAAGTAACCGGGCGGACAGCCGCACAGGTAGCCGCCCTCGGTGTTGGAACAGCCGTAACTGCAGGGAGCCTGCGAAGAGCCACATTCGTTGATGTCTTGGCATCCTCCGCTGAACTGTTCATACTGGAAGCCGGCGGGACACATGCACTTGTAGCTCCCCAGGGTGTTGTGACAGGAGGCTCCTCCACAAATGTGCGCACTGAGGCACTCGTTTTCATCTGGCAGGGAGAACAAGAAGACAGCGCGTGTGTGACGCCGGCCAGAGGCTGCCATTGAGGAGCGTGGTTTAGGACGCTTGCTGGGTGCTCAGGAAGGTGAGGCAAGCAGAGGTGGCTGGGGCGGGGGAGAGGAGCAAGAGAGAAAGATGTAGAAATGGATGTGGACTTCTCGTCATGTTGTGACTGCGCGTGGCAGACAATCAAATGCACCAGGCGGAGAGCCTTAGAGGATGGCGTTCTGAGCATCTGCAGACTCCAGTTGCACTGGAAGCCAACGCCAAGTATCCTCTGCTCCATGTGAGCATCTGGTAAAGAATGATGGGCAGGTCCATAGCTAAGGGTCAGGGGTTCGGGGTGGGAAAGACGGAATCATGCAGTTCTCCGCGTCCTTGCTCCACAAGCGCCCAGCAGAAGGGCACAGACCTCAAAGGCAGAGGCCAACCACTTTCTTGGAGGCTCTTTTCCCTGTCCTCCTTTTTCAGGACATACAGGCCTGGAAAGGACTCATATCCTGCCTGAAGTGTCTGCTCCACTTGGACTTCCTTTTCACAACTGTGCAAAAGCCCCCAGGTAGTTGTTTTGGGGGATGAATAGTGCCCTGTGGTGTGTCTGCTCCCATCTCGGAATGGGCCCCTCCCTACCCAAACCAGCCTCCTGCCCAGAGCGTCTGAGCCATGCCTAAAGCTCAGACACTTTGTGTGTGCGTGTGTGGCTGGAAGAGATTCGGGGCAAACCTCACGAGCAACAATTGGGGAAAGCCCACAAGAGAGACAGATGCTGCAGGGGTGGCTACCCGCTAGCCACCAGGACCTGCCAAGTCTGATGGTAAGGAGCAGGAAAAAGAAATCTAACTGTAAAAAATCAACTTAAAGGGAGAAAACCAGGAGTTTCTCATTATTTTCAACTTATAATTTCTGGAAATCTCCAATATATTTTTGTAGACCTGCCTTTGGAGGACAAGTTGGAAACTCGCTGGTAAGACATTTCTTAATTGCTGCAGCCCATTTTCGGGCATATGTTCATGTGAGTATAGATTGGCCTTCTCTTTATGTAGTGAACCCCTACTTCCAATGGAAGAGAGGAAGGGAAAGGAAATGAACATTCATCAGATGCCTAGTTACCGACTATGGCAGGATACGGGTGTTTCACATTCATTTACTTAACCTTCCTGACAATCCTGAGACGGAGGTATTACATTCCCTGTTTTACAGATGAAGAAAGTGAGGCTCAAAGCTCTTCCAAGATCTCACGGCCAGAAGCAGCAGGGCAGAAATTCACAGCCAGGTCTGTCTCACTGCAAAAGCCCTGTGCTTTCCTTTAGACCACAATTCCTCTCCAGAGACTGCCCCACACTTAAACTGGTACTTCCGTTCTCCTATAATTAGTTTTGCCTTCTTTGTGAAAGGAGATTCATTTATAAAGAAAAAAACTGGATTAAAAAAAAACTAGTTTATATTCTTTTTTTTTTTTTTTAATTCAAAAACAGGTGAGTAAAAGTGGTGGGGGCAGGATGGTTGCTTGGATATACTCAGCACACATTCTCAATCCTTTCCTCCTTGCCTTCTTCCTTCTCTCCTCTCCTTCCCTCCCTCCCTGCAGCTATAGGTCTGTGATGTCAGCTTTGTCTGTTTGAAGATCCTTTATATCCAAAGACCCTCAAGTCCCCACCTGAGGTCACTCAGGCTCCAGGGTCACTGAAATAGAAATAACTAAATATGCCACTGTCTGCGTTCTTTTCTCCTTATTTTAAATTAGGGATGAGGCATGCAATAGAGACCAACAGAGACCATGGCACTAAGCTCTATGGCAAACAAGGAAGGGAGAACCAAGAATATTTACTTCCCCCTGGGCAAGGTTTCTTCTCCTTGCCCGTGCATGTCCTCCCCATACCCTCTCCACGCGCTCTCAGTCCCAGGGGCTGGTCACTGCAGAGTGTCCACAGTCTCTGCTCCCTTGTCCCCTACTTTTGTCTGGGCTCGGCCATCTGTTTCCTCTTGGGACTCTAATAAAACTTGTAAGGCATGGGTATATGGCGGAGAAGACCCGTCAATATAGAGCTTTGAATTATCGTCATTTTTTTCCCCGAAGGGCAGAAATAAGACAAATGGTTAGAAGTTAGAGGGAGGAAAAGTTCATTCTTTATGAAAAAGACATTTCTAAGTACTAAAGCTGACTATACATAGATTGTGCTATCTTGTGAGAAAGTGAATGCCCTTCAAGGTATTCAAGCCACACTGGGATGAGCAGGGAGATTGGGGAGAGATTTACGTTTTAGGAAAGAGGTCAGATTAGTTAATCTCTAAGGTTCCATCTAACTTTGAGCATCCATCTGTTACTACAAATATCCCTTACACTCAGGAACTCTCCTCTTCCCCTTTCGCATTTTTTTATTTTATTTTGCCGTTTGCCCCCTTCCTGAGAATTTAATAAAATCTAAATTAAACTTGCTTATCTTGGTGGAAGAGGTGGGATGGAGTACAGCACAGGTTAAGATAAGAAACTGGCAAATGGTCAGTGCTTAGAGCTTGAAAATAGTATGTTTGTGCACTCACCCTTTTTATCAATATACAAACACCACAATTTGGTTAACATGTTTTCCACATTTCCTAATCTTTTCATTCTGTGCACCCTGGCTCCACAAAGAATTTTTCTGTACTCTAAAATATTTTTTTTTATTCTTTTAGTTGGTACTTAAATTGGTGAGCCTTTTGTTCTTTTTATTTAAAAAAAAAAAGACAATTCTGATTTTATCAAAACAGCATTAAAGTCTAAAAACTACTTATTCCAAAGCAGACTGAAACCTACCACTCTGTCCTCTAAACTCAAAGGTTCTAGCATCAGGCTTGCATTGTTTGTGATAGCTGTGGCACTAATGGAGTCTCACTGGGAACATTCCCAAATGCAAGATGGGCTTTCTTTTCCTAACTTTCCCTGGGGTAAAAACGGTTGATTCCATCCTCAAGCTGAACGTTTGATATTTACTTCTAGAAAGCAATGAAATCAGTGGTCCCTTACCCGAGAGCCAGCCATCTTGGAAGAGTAACCTTCTGGCCACGTAGGAGAGAGGATCCAGAGAGGGCTGGTTTAAGAGATCTGTTCTACTCCTCATGGACACGGGGGACCATTCTAGCCCAAAGCCATGCTCATTTTGGGTAACTTTAATTCTTGATATTTATGAGGGAGATTTGGCATTTTGGGGGCATTAAGAACACCAAAGGTCTTCTGACTTCTTAATCAATTTATTCTTCTAAAACGTTCAGATAGGAGAGGCTTCTTAATCAATTTATTCTTCTAAAACGTTCAGATAGGAGATGATCTTCACAGGACCAAAGTAGACTCTCTAGGACATTAGGGCATGGCCTGACCACCTCTACTATCTCCAAACGGAATGTTGGAAGAGGAGGACAAGTTACAGGAGTGACATACCTCTCCTCTTTTATATTTTCTCTCATAGCTCCAATTTCATTAAAGTGACCTATATCATGAGAACAGACAGGCTCATATACTGGGTGTTGAATCAACAAAGCTCACTCTGGAGGCTCTGTGGACAATGTCAGAAACCGATGATTAAAATCAAAGATCTCTCTGAGCTGGTAAGGAACAAAGACATTTTTTATGAAAACCAGAAAGCTAGTCAGAGAGCTGTGCAGTCTAAAATCGTATAGCACCGTGGTCACTTTAGTCAACCCTACATACCTCTGCAAAACTGTGTCTTATGCAGAATCAAACTAGATGGGAGAGACAATTTTGATAAGTGGAAACCACCAAAAGGGTGTCTTCATTTGTACTAAAGCGAAACATTGCAACGTGCAGCTTCCACCCAGGAAGTAGTAATTCTTTGAGTTTTTGCTAAGGAAGGCTCTGTACCCAAGAAAGTGGCAACTAATACAGGTCACCCAAGCACCAAACTTGAAGTGGTGCTCTGTAGACACCTGCTGAACGAGAGAGAAAATCCAGGAGAAGTGACACCTGAAAGGCAGCCCTAAATCAGGAAGTTAAGGGTTCTAGTTCCAGTCACGTCACCAAAAAGCCAGGCGAGGACATGTTACTTCCCTCCCTGGGCTTCTGATTCCTCATGAGTAAAACACAGGGCTTGAGCTAAATGGCCTCTGGTGTCCCTCCAAACTTGCAATGTTTCGATTCTCTCATTTGCAGTGAGTGTTATTTTTCCCATGACACTGAAGAATAAAAGATTTAAATTTAACGAGGGAGTCTGTCGATCTCTCTTAATTACCAAAACGATTTAGCAATCTGAAAAAACCTGCTGTGTCTACTGCTTGCACTCTGCCCCAAAGATGTGCAGAGATGAACAGAACCTACTTCTGCATCTTCAGGCCAAAAGTTGCTGCAAAAATAGCCTCCGGCTGGCTGATATTTTTCGGTCAGAAACAGGATTTTGTTGAGATGCGAACAGAGCACAAGTGTGGGCTGGGCTGGCTGGCAACTAGCAATGCCGCGGAAGGGCACGGAATGTATTGGGCGTCAAGGAATTCTGGGGGAGGAGGTGTTTCATGTCAGATGCTCCCAAAGCACCCTTTTTTCACGATTTTCTTTCTTAGTCAGCTATTTCGAAAATACGGACACTTCCATCTGGTTTCAACCAGGCTAGGGCAACTCTAAATGGGTATGCGTTTGTCGCGTGGATAATACGTTTAAGGTTTTTGGAAAGAAAGCAGCGCTTTGCCTCACGGTAGCTGAGAGCCAGGCATCTGGAGAGCGAGGGAGAGCTACTTGCCGACACACTGGTTCCACTGGTAGTGCTGCAGGTAGCCCTGCGGGCAGCTGCACCGGTAGCCCCCGATGATGTTCTGGCAGCCGTGCTGGCAGCGGTGGTTACCCTCACACTCGTCCACGTCTGCAAGAGGAGCAGAGTCGCCTTTAAGCCACCTGGCACCGAGGTGCTCTTTGAAGCCACATTTATCTGCATGCTTAGGTGAACGGTGATTCTAATAAGAAATCCAGCCCCTAAAAAATTATTCCACCACCAAAACCCTCAAGAATATCTACAGTGGAGCTGTTGCTAAGTCCAAGGAGAAAAGCATTCGGAGATCCCTGATAAAAAGCCTACAAATAAAAGTGATAAGGAAATTAGTGCAAAGCACAAAGTACTCTGATGGGATAGCTCCGTCAATTATTTGTGTTTGCTTTTTTTTGGGGGGGGGTCCGGAATTAAAAACCAAAAGGTGTCAAAGCTGCAATAACATCCTTTAAAAAATAACATTTACTCATATATTATCAGAAGAATTAATCCTCATATGTTTAGTCCACAGTGGGGAAATCTCTCTGTGCCTCTGGACCCAACGACCAGGAAATTAACGCATCAAATTCAGGACTCTGGCTAGCTGTTTTTCTTGACTGAGTTACTGCCTATTAGATTAAATTAATAATTGAGCCCCCAAAGCCTTGATATACTTAGGAAAGGCATGTGTTATAGACATGAGCATAAGATAAAAAAAAGATGCATCTCTAAGATAGGGACCCTCACAAACTATTTCAGTTGGGTGTTACCCCTGAGCTCAGTTCTGATATCTCATAGAGGATGATGATGAAGGTACCAATGGATAACAGCTAAGGTCTCTACCCACCTTCACAGCTGGCTCCTGTCTGATCCAGTGAGAATCCCCGCTGGCATTCACAGGTGAAGCTTCCAGGAGTGTTCTGGCAAATGCCCTTAGACCCGCACAGGTTGATGTCAGAGGTGCATTCATTGTTATCTGTGAGAAGCAGTGGGACAGAGGAGGGGTTAAAATCCCCTAAGCTCTCTTGGTATTGTTTAAAAGAAAGTGAGTTGTTTCCACATCTTTGCAATTGGGAATTGTGCTGCTATCAACATTCGGATTTTCCTGGATAGAGCTGGAACCCATTCTACTAAGTGAAGTATCCCAAGAATGGAAAAATAAGCACCACGCGTACTCACCAGCAAATTGGTTTCAGTGATCAACACCTAAGTGTGCATATAGGAATAACATTTACCTGGCGTCGGGCAGAGGGGAGGGGGCAGGAGGGGATGGGTAGATACATACATAATGAGTGAGATGTGCACCATCTGGAGGATGGACACTCTTGAAGCTCTGACTCAAGGGGGGAGGCGGGGCATGGGCAATATATGTAACCTAAACATTTGTACCCCCATAATATGCTGAAATAAAAACAAAAAAAGAAAGTGAGAAGGAGGACTCAGAGAAGGCCAAATAAGGCCAACAACTTTTCGCCTGCATGTACACATGTGTGCAAGCTCACATGCATGCACTCACACATTTTTGAGCTTTTGTTTTTTTATCCCAAAGGTAGAGAAAATAGAAAACAATCCCTTAAAGGAATAGCTATGTCCCGTATAGGGTTTTTTCCTCTTCCACTTACCAATGCAGGCAGTATGGTGTTGGGTAAACCCGGGAGGACATTTACACGTGAAGCCACCAATGGTGTTAACACAGAGGAACTGGCAGTTGTGCTGTTTAGTCGCACACTCATCAAGATCTACAAGAAAATGCAAGATGGGCATTTGAGTTGTGCTCACAACACAGGTGCAAAGACGCCACCCCTAGGAAGAAGCTCTAAGTTCTGATTTCTAAGTTCAAATGACCCTTGCAGGAACAGAGCCACAGCAAATGGCTAGGAGGAACCCAGGGGATAACAGTTTGAAAAATAAAACAAGGTCTCAATCTAGACAAAAATATATTGCTCTTTGGGGTATCCAAGGAAAACCCAATTCCCTTAAGTCAGAAAAATGCAGAAATTCCTCAACAAAGGAATTTCAAATAAGTTATGAGATTTTAAACAAATTACAAAATGAAGTAAAAGATCAGTGATTCTAAACATTTTCTAGAGCATCAAAAAGATCTATTTAAGGTGAAATATCAAAAGAACCGTTGAAGCTGGAAATGGATTTGCTTGGTTCTTTTCTGTTTACTGTTTTTAGTCTGCTCCAATGAGGAAGTCAAAAAACATTCTGACTTTTTTAGTTAGGAAATCTCCTTTGGATAAAACAAAATTGAGCAATCAGGAAGAAAACAAAAGAAAGAAAAAATTCACTCTGATAAGCTAAAGGCACTTTACTAATATTACCTACAGTATTTATTCGACATTATTTCCCATGTCTCAATAAAATCCTTTGCTTTCACCACGCCTCTTGCCTCATTGCCTCAACTCCTAGTTTCATTCTCAACTCCAGTGCTATTTTAAAAAAATCAAGAGATACAAAACACGTTCTAACTTTTAGTTGAATTTTAATAATTTAAAAATTGCTGTGTATTCAGGAACCTTTCTTTTTTTTTTTTTTTTAGTGGTTTTATTTTGTCACAAATTCAGCCACCAGGCACCCACCACATGCAGAACAGTGTTGGAGTTGCAGGTCACTTGCTGGCTTTGCTAGTGACTGCTACTGCTCCACTGGGCCAGTTCCTGCGTAGGGGACCATCTGGAGTGGACCTAAACCCAGGGAACCCTCCCCACACTTGGGCCAGTGCTGACTTCTCTTAAAACGGAGCCCGTCCTCTGCTCTTTCCACTGCCCCGCCGCTGACTGATATAAACTCTCTGTCCTGCTTTCTCAGAGCCCATAGACCACCTTCCCGCCTATGATCCAAGGAGCTTTGCTAGAGCATCAATGCATATTTGCTGGAGCTCACCTGCAAACAGGTGAGGGAGATGACTCGGTGATTTTTTATAACACTATTTCATAAATACAACACATTGAGAATAGCAACACTCCCTGTGCTCACCTCTGAGCATGCCTTTCCCTCTTCTTCTCTCCTCTAGTCCGCATCCAACTCATCTCTCATGGAGCACAATGCTGGGCCCATTCCTCCCAGGGCCACCCTTCTAGACCTTTCTTCTAAGTTTCAGTAGTACACATATCTGTACCACACATTTTGATATGTAGTTATATATGCCAAGTGGGTGGAATAATTTAAACTTTATGAGTGAAAAATAGGAGAAATACACTTAAGTTGTGAGTGGATTAATTATAGAGTTGTTTTTTGTATTCCTGTAAGCATATAGAACCCTATTGATATAATTAATTACCATTTTTTTCTGTGTTAGTTGCTAGAAACTTTTGAGGAATTTTCCACCTTCATAGGTTGGAAAAATGCTGTGCATTTGTTTTGTTTGGTACAGATAACATACACAATGAGAGATATTTTCCCCTTGAATTTGGTTCTTCATTTCTACGAATAGACATAAGGCTTTGAGTAATAGCCTCACACTGCCTAGAACTTACTGTAATCCATGGATGTAGAATAAGTGCCATATTTGAGAAGAAGAAAGCTTTGAGCAACTCTTCATTGAAGATGGTCAGAATTTATGAGCAGGTCTCTCAACTTCCTCCCCAAGAACTACAGGATTATATAGGATTTGTGCGGCGCAGGGGGGCCTCTGGCAGTTGCCTGTTGTGTCATCCTCTGGGACATGCCTCTTCACTCACCCCCTTTCCAGACACAGGAAAGAGGTTGAGGCCCTACTTGTCACTGCTCTCTGCTTCCACTCCACCCTACCATTTCCCTTCCTTACTTTCTGTTTTCTCCCTCAAAGTTTCACAGCAGGATAGTTTTGTTCCGACATCTGGTCGACCTTTCCTTTTCCAAATCCTTCATTTTCTAAATTATCATAAATTATGACTCACTTCCACTATTCCCTCAGTATGATGTTCCTACTGTAGAGGAAGATGTTTACAGAAGTAAATTTACACCAGAATAATTTTGCAAAGGGTAACTTCTGGTTGAGAAGGGATTTCCACCTAAAGTTTTGCTGTTTCTTAATTCTGTGTGATATTTATGTCTCAGGGAAACTCCTAGAGGGCAGGAAGAGCCTTATTTTGTAGAACAAAAAGCTGACACAGTATTTAATTAGGCACGATGTCCTCTGGGATCATGGCACTGAATATTCTGAGGCAGGACTTTGCTGGAAATCTGGACTATACGCTTGTTGAACAGACAGCATAAATTACAAAAAGAACAAGCACAGAGGAGGTGACCAATTAAGAATGTGCCTCACTAGGGCCTAGGAGAGCTGGGCCTGCTATCCCTGAGACCCTCGTGGATGGGCCCTACAGACGTCCATGGGGCATATAGTGTAGACGGCTGCCTCCACTGGTCCTTTATGATGTCCCTCTCTTAGCTTCCCTCCCTCCAGCAGAGGTGGTGAGTCCCACGGAGGCACCAGCCCCAGAGAAGCACCTCTGGCAGGTCTTTCAGCTTGCCTGTGGATTCCTCCCAGGCACGGGAATGCAGCCACGTGTCAGGTGCCAGGTGAGCGGGCAAGAGCAAATTCTGCATTACCTTTGCAGCTCCGGCCATCCTCTTGCAGAATGTAGCCTTTCGGACATGAACACTGGTAACTCCCTTCTGTGTTTTTGCAGATAAAATTGCAGGGTTTGGGAGCCTGGTTGCACTCGTTCAGATCTATGATCAAAGAAATACAGTATGATGGTCCATCTAAGGAAGTTATCTACATGCTAAATATCCACAGGATCTAATGAAGAATTTTAGGTTTGATGAAGGCAACTGGAAATCCTGTGTAGTCTTTGATCATTGTCCCATATTTGCCTATATTGAAACTATAAAGGCTTTTTAGATTTTTAGCTTGGGGATTTTATTTTTATTTTTTTGCTGTCATCTAAAATTTCCACTTGGGAATAAACACCAGAAACAGAGCACTTACCTACACAGGAAGTCCCAGTTATATCTGGAGTGTAGCCAGTCTTACAAATGCAATGGTATGATCCTCTGTCATTGACACATTCCCCATTTCGGCAAACATCATGAATAACCTTGCATTCATCAATATCTATAATTTAATAAGCATAAATTAGAATAAGAAAGATATTATAAAATGGGCAACATTCATATGTAGGAGTCACTTCAGGGTAAATACTGATAAACTGAGCTACTGTATTATGGACCTAAGAAATTAAACCAATGGGATGACAGCATAAATTTCATATGTAATGGTAGCTACACTGAAAGGCAAACCAATTATCAGGCTGGAGGATAATCAGTTTTTAAAAAACTGATCCTTTAAATTTATATTGTTTTTCTCTTTTGGGTCCCTGGAACCACCACCCCATTCAGACATGTTTGGCTTCTTGCTCCATCTCACGCCATCAAGCTTGCCTCCTGCTGACATCTCGTAAATGAGTCACAGCAGTGGATTCTTTGACAAGGAAACCCCATCTCCCCTCAATATTGCATGTTCAAAATAAGAAGGGAAGGTTTCTTTTCTTTTTGCTTTCTTTTCTTTGTGTTTGAAGTTCATCCTGAAAAATACTGAATTACATAATATTGAGGAAATGGGATCAACTTTCCTCTTCTGGAGAAAAGGGAAATAAACCAGGGCTCTGGGGTGGGTGACAGGGCTGGGTTTTTGTAGCCTGCAAAGGAAGAGAGACCCTCACCTATGGCTCCGCCACTGGGAGAAAGATTGGTCAGGGGGCATTGTTGAGCATTAAAGCCACCTGACCCACCTATCTCCTTGCTGCTTGGTGCCACTATAAGTACTTATCAGCCCTTGATTGCCAAATAACCATTTTATACCAACAGCTGGCGGGGTGCCTGACCTTCACAAGTTTACTCTGAAGTGCAATTTAGCATACCCTCGCTGTTCTCAAGAAATGAGTCTTTTCCACCATCTTATTTTTCAATGCTCCAAAGAATCATAAATTGCTTTTGGCCACTCCATGTTTTCTGTCCAGTTCTGTCTTTGACCACATCCCAATGCCATTATTCTGCCTTCCGCTGCATCTTTCTAAGATGAACCAAATCCTTCTTAACCTCCTTCTTCTCTTTCACTTCCAAGTCCTTCCCAAGGAGCTCAAAAACAAACAACCAAACACCCCCAAACCCTCTCTCCTTTCCTCAGTCCTTTTATGAACTAAAAACCAACTGTAGTTACTGTCGGTAAACATAGGAATCAACGGCCTAGAAGTCTTCAGAGTTGCTCCAGACCTCTCAACGGCCTCCTCATCCTTCTCTAGTTCAAAGGAGCTTATGCTCTTTCAATGCACTTGTGTTTAACTTCCCAGATATCAGCATTATTTATACTTCCTTTATGCAATATATTTTAGCCAATTTTATGAGTCAAAATATGTCTTGGTGTACTGGTTTGGGAATGTAATGATCATTTATTTCAAGTGAGCTAAAAAATTATATTCTGGGCTGGGCACGGTGGCTCAGGCCTGTAATCCTAGCACTTTGGGAGGCTGAGGCAGGTGGATTGCTCAAGGTCAGGAGTTCAAAACCAACCTGAGCAAGAGCCAAACCCTGTGTCTACTAAAAATAGAAAGAAATTAATTGGCCAACTAAAAATATATAGAAAAAAATTAACTGAGCATGGTGGCGCGTGCCTATAGTCCCAGCAACTTGGGAGGCTGAGGCAGGAGAATTGCTTGAGCCCAGGAGTTTGAGATTGCTGTGAGCTAGGCTGATGCCACGGCACTCTAAGCCTGGGCAACAGAGTGAGCCTCTGTCTCAAAAAAAAAAAAAAATTATATTCTGAGTAGCTAACAACGAATAGCAAATTTCTGTTTGAAAACTTGAGGACTCCCTGTCATGCAGTGGCAGGGATCCAAGCACACACAACTTCATCCAGTGGACCAAGGACACTCTGCCAACGTGGCCTTGAATGTCTGAAACACCACAGGAAGAATTTTGTGCAACTCAACCTAGGAACACACTGTAGATTCCGTATGCTCATCTGTTTTTCATAGAGAAACCAACCCACAGATTCCCTGCCAGTATTTCTGGACCGTAGATGAAGTACCTGCTCCATTGGTCATGAATCCTCGGCCGTGGGGGCAGAGTTTCTTGAAAGCCACGGTGCCCTGGAAGGGGCAGATCTCACAGTGGGGCCCCCAGCCTCTGCCTCCGTCACAGCAGCATTCAGACTTGGTGACCGGGTTCCGGTTGCTCGAGCCGATCTGACACATGTTTTGCAGCACCTCTGTGAAACAGTACCCTTCCCGGTTGTCTGGAAGGGACATTGCATTGCAAAAGAAGATTTTAGGAAATGGTATGAGCGTAAGAGGGTAGCAAGAATTTGGTCAGATATAAAAACCAAAAAGGATGTAACACTTTACCCTGGCTGAGAAGGAGCGAGAAGGGAAAGCTGGAGACAGCAGTGAAAGAGAAAGGATGGCGTCTGAGGGAAACAAAGAAGAGACTCAGTAAGTAGGCAGGAAGGCACTGGCCTAGACGAGCTTACACCCTATCTGCTTCCCAGGAATCCGGGGGAACGGTCATGCTGTAGAGACAGAGGGGCAGAGAAACATATGGAAACGGATCCTGATCACAGAGGGCTTCCAGAGGCAGCCAGGAAAGAAATTCCACACAAGTGATTCAGTGATACAATTAGCAAAGGAAGAATTTAGCTGCAGGGTGGTGCTAAGCCCAATGGACGATCACAGCCACTAAGTCATCTCCAAAATATGAACATTTTTCATCCTCCCTCAAATTGTGGCATTTTCCTTTATTTCGAATAGGAGACGTGTTTTTCAAGCGTCCCAGTGTGGAGGCTGAGGTTACACAGGTCGCAGCTGAGCGCACTCACCGAGGCACTCGTCCTGGGCGGGGCTGGCGGTGAACCCGTCGTTGCACTCGCAGGTGTAGCTCCCTAGGGTGTTTAGGCAGCGCCCGTTCTCGCAGATCCCTGGCTTGGTCTGGCATTCGTTCTCGTCTGTTTGGTTTCATTGAAGGACCGGAAACAAAAAGAATCACCTGACTGTTATAGAAGGATGGATTCCCTCCCTCCGTCCCTCCCTTCCTTTCTAATTTAGTTTGAGAATAGCTAATCTCTTCCTATCGTTCCAAATTCAGAAGGTGTAAGAGGGTATTCAGCAAAAATCCCCCTTTCTTCCCTATATCCCAGCCACCAAACTCTCCTCCTGGGAGGCAACCAATGCTGCTGCTGATGTCTGATGTCCCCTTCCAGGGATGGATCATGCATATCAAAGCAAATACATACATACATGTACTCTGCTCTCTTAAAAACACAATTGATAGCATTTTTATATGTTTAAACGTAGACGGTAGCATTTGATGCACACTTACATTTTCACTTGACAAAATTTAAATCTTTCTATATTAGTACAGAAAGAGGACTCCTAAAAGATTATTTCAAGTGAAGAAAGAAAAATCTGAAGAAATATTACAATACCTCAACAGAATAATGTCTTTAATGGTCAGTGCTGAGCTGGGGGAGTCTATCTAACCTAATCTTCAGATTCAAATAGATTATGTTTATTGTAATAGTTCAGCAATATTATCAAGAAATAATAAACCATAATTCAGTCTCCCAGGCTTTTTTAAAAAAAACATTAAAATATCTGGAGATTCTTAGGATTGTCTGGTGATTATTTAGAAAGATCATAAATAATTTGCTGAGGTGCTTCCCATCATTTGAGAGGAGTTCAGAGTCCCTGATTTGGAGATCTTACTAGGAGAGGCAGAGAGTTGGAAGGTGACATCCAGAGCAATGTTAAAGCAGGTGGTTAAAAATCCTAATGTCCAAGCCACCCCTAGACCAATTTAAACCCCAATATGTGAGGTTGTACCTGAGCTCCCCAAGTGATCTCGATGTGCAGGTGTGGTTGAGAATCCCTGACCAAGGAGGATCCAGTGTGTGATCACTCATCCACACACTTTTTTCTGTGTGTTGAAATTGCTGTTAAGTACTGTTTCAATCTGTATCTTACAGAGTGAAGGGGCAATGGGATTTTTAATCTTCTTGGCTGGCACCATAAAATATACTCTACTGATGTCATTTATATTTGAAAAAAAGGAAGAGGATGCATGTAGGCATTTTCCAATAATTTTTCTCTGATAATTATTATCTAAGCAGAGGTCAGAAAACTTTTTCTATAAGTGTCAGTTACATAATAAATATTTTAGGCTTGCTCTGTGTTGCAACTACTTGGCTCTGCCATTGTGGAATGAAAGCAGCCACGGGCAACAGGTAAATGAATAGTTACACTCATATTCCAGTAAAACTTTATTTATAGGCCGGGCGTGGTGGCTCACGCCTATAATCCTAGCTCTCTGGGAGGCCGAGGCGGGCGGATTGCTCAAGGTCAGGAGTTCAAAACCAGCCTGAGAAAGAGTGAGACCCCGCCTCTACTATAAATAGAAAGAAATTAATTGGCCAACTGATATATACATAAAAAATTAGCCGGGCATGGTGGCGCATGCCTGTAGTCCCAGCTACTCGGGAGGCTGAGGCAGAAGGATCGCTTGAGCCCAGGAGTTTGAGGTTGCTGTGAGCTAGGCTGACGCCACGGCACTCACTCTAGCCTGGACAACAAAGCCAGACTCTGTCTCAAAAAAAAAACAAAACAAAAAAACTTTATTTATAAAAACAGGTGATGGGCTGGCAGGCTGGAATTGGGCCATGGGCTAGAGTAGTCTGCCAACCTCTGGCCTAAAGCTGTGGTTCTCAATGCTGGATCCATATGAGAGTCAGGTGAGAAGTTTTAAAAATTACCAGTGCCTGGACTCCGCTCTAGACGAGATGAGATTTTTCTGAAGGTAGATCTCACTGGTTTAGAGATACTCCTGGTCCAGAGGGACCTGGCATGTGTACTCATTGTTAGGGCACTAGTAGCAAAGCTGAGTCAATAGGGAGGCATTCCAGTGTGTTGGAGAGAACTGACCCCCAAATCGACAATGGAGTATACAAAGTAAAGGGAGGGAACAGATCGCTGTTCCAATCTTGGCAGCAAATTGATCAAGAACGTAGGGAAAGGCCAGCTCAGAGGAAGAGAATGACAGTGCTCTTGGAATTCATAAATGATCAAGTGGCAAGGAGACCACCATGGAAAGCCAAGACATGAGGTAAAAGAGGCGAAACAGCTCTGGCCAAGAACGCACTGCCACAGGGACTCAGAGCCCACGTTCCTTCTGTCTGCTGTCACTTTGAACTCACTCAAAGCTCCTTCCAAGGAATCCTCTTACCTACGCAGCCTTCCCCATCAGGTCTCCTCTGATACCCGGGTCCACAGATGCACATGTACGTGCCGATGAGGTTCTTGCATTCCATTTGTTTCTCAGCACAATCATGCTTTCCTTCTTCACACTCATCCTCGTCTGTAAAAGATGTTCAGGCACAACACATTTGTAAAAGGAGCTGCATTAATTGCCTGGCCTTTTAAACACAAAATGGTAGTAAGTAACCAATTTTCATCTATGTTATTTCAATGTTGGTCTGTTGGGTGTCGATGCCTTAAGAATGGAGAAGAGGGGGGAGGGGGGGAAGGGCATTTATTGAAACTTTAAAATCTGTACCCCCATAATATGCCGAAATAAAAAAAAAAAAAGAATGGAGAAGAGTCTCCTAACTACCTTTGAACGTGAAGAAATTGCTCCCTAACTAGCTGATAACTTACTCTTTAAGAAGCATGGTTCTAATCATGCCTTTCCCTCTACTCCCTTTTTATACTCCTTTGTTGAAGCATGATTTTATAATTTGTTTTGACCAATCGAACTAAAAAGGCCTTATATAATTATAATACAATGATATATCATAGCATAATGGTAATTATAACAGCATTACAATCATAATATATGATAATACAATACTTAGAATTACAGTCATGATGGATTAGAATAGAATAATGAACCAAAGCTTCCATTGTACAGTAGTTAAAACAATATATTATATTATTTTAATATGATAATGTTAATAAATATGTCATAATATTAGAATAATCATTATATAATAAAAGCTTTGATTTTTATACTGTAATAAAAACCAGGCATCTACAAATATCTTATTCGCTACTGTTTCTTCCCCCCTTTGTTTCCTTTTTTTTTGGTGTTGCTTGGCCCTTCCTCAGTGTTTACTTTCTTTCCTAGTGCATTTCCTTCTTTATCTTTGCCTTTTACATGCTCTGAGCTGAGAAATTTGGAATTTATCCTGCATGTGATGAGGACCTCTCACTTAGGAAATTCCCTACCCTCAAGCAAAACGGTTTTCAAGCCATCTTGAGAAAACAAGTGTCTACTCATTCAGAATCCTGGGAGGAGCAAATCCAAGCTCTTCAGGGGCAAACTCCATGATTACCCAAGCTTGTATAATGGAATCTAATCCAGTGCTTTGGAAATTGCAGGTGTTCAATGCGCATTTTTAATGGAAATATTTTAACTAAAGTAGACTCCATGTGTTACCCTATTCTTGAAATAGAACACTTTTTAGCAAAGGGCATTTCCTCCCTTTGTGTTCTCACAGCATTTTGTATATGCAGCCACCATAGCATTTATCTCACTGTATTAAGATAATTAATTTATATCTGTCTCAATCGAATGTGAGGAAATATCTTTTTTTTTCTTTACATCTTTAGTTTTCTAGAATGACTGTAATATCACAGGCATGCAATGCATAGTGAAAACTAACATAGAGGATCTGCAGTGTAGCCATTGACTCAGCTAGATGATGCTTCAAGGTACAATTTAGGGGAAAATGTGGCAGTGACAATCCCCAGATTGTCTATAGACAACATATGTTCCTCAATTCTCAGCTCCTCCTACTAATGGAGGTTTTGGGAAGACACCTCCCATCACAGATAGAGAGCTTCCAGGCTTAGGTGACCTTGAACACGATGTGAACTTCCTACCCTAGGTCTCCCTACCACGCCCTCCTTTGCCGTTCACTTTCTGATGTCAGAA